GATTCCAATTCTTCAATATATTGTACCAAAGTAGCCATGTATGGAACCAGATATCCTTATATGAAACCGAATTATCAATATATTAATTCATTTTTACAATATATGAAACCAATTTATCAATGTATGGAGCCAAATTTTCAATATATAAATTGATTATCACAATATATGATACCAATTATTCAATATATGGAACCAAAGTAGCAATGTATGGAACCAGGTGTCCTTATATGAAACCGAATTATCAATATATTAATTAATTTTTACAATATATGAAACCATTTCATCCATGTATTGAACCAAAGTTACAATATATAAGTTGATTATCACATTATATGATACCAGGTCTTCAATATATTGTACCAAAGTAGCAATGTGTGAAACCAGATGTCCTTATATGAAACCGAATTATCAATATATTAATTCATTTTTACAATATATGAAACCATTTTATCAATGTATGGAGCCGAAGTATCAATATATAAGTTGATTATCACATTATATGATACCAGATCTTCAATATATTAATCCAAGTAAGTCATGTATGGAACCAGATGTCCTTATATGAAACCGAATTATCAATATTACAATATATGAAACCAGTTTATCAATGTATGTAACCGAATTAGCAATATATAAGTTGATTTTCACATTATATGATACCAGTTTCTTCAATATATGATACCAAAGTAGCAATATATTGAACCAAAATGTCATTATATTGAGGGGCTTTTTTTAAAGACGTTTTTCTATCCCTTGCACCCGGTATTTTCAAATTTTTTCGCAAAATTCCCTTTTGAACCCCTTTTCTTCAAATTTTAAAATTTCTACTGCACATTTTCTAAATACGGAAATATTTGAAATTTTAACGCCAATTTTCCCTTTAAATGACTGGGCAGGGAAAACTTATCGTTTTTATAAAGTAGAGTTTTTATGTCATAAATTTAAAACTAATTTTATCGTATGGCCATTTAAAAAAAAACATAAATTTAAAAAAAAAGTTCACTCCCAAACCCTTTTCCCTTTTATCCCAAAAAAGGGGGGAAGGCCGTAAGGGGGCACATCAAGGGGTTTAAACTAAATCACCCAAAAATTTAAAAAAAATCAGCAAAATAAATTTTTTTCATGAAAAAATGATGCATTGAAATAAAAGAACGCCCGTCCTTGGGCCTTTTAAATTTTTTGGGAATTTAAAAAGGGTATTTTTTGGTTTCCCTATAATTAAAATTTCTATCAATTAAAAATCAAAATTATATTACTGCTACTTCGGCTCCATACATTAATAAAATGGTTTCATATATTGTAAAACTGACATAATATATTCATAATTCGGTTTCATATAAGGGCATCTGGTTCCATATATGGCTACTTTGGTACAATATATTGAAGAACTGGTATCATATAAAGTGATAATCAAGTCATATATTGCTACTTTGGTTCCATACATTGATAAATTGGTTTCATATATTGTAAAAATGAATTAATATATTGATAATTCGGTTTCATATCAGGACATCTGGTTCCATACATGGCTATTTTGGTACCATATATTGAAGAATTGGTATCATATAATGTAATAACCAACTTATATATGTCTACTTTGGTTTCATAAATTGATAAATTGGTTTCATATAATGAAAAATGAATTAATATATTGATAATTCGGTTTCATATAAGGACATCTGGTTCCATACATGGCTACTTTGGTACCATATATTGAAGAATTGGAATCATATATTAAGTAAATCAACTTATATATTGCTAACTCGGTTTCATACACTGACAGAATGGTTTCATATATTGTAACTGTGGATTAATATAATGGATTCCGGTTAAATAAGAAGGTATTTTCAATTCATATATTATGGTGGCATATTTCTGCCGCCAGATAACCTGATAACAAACTAGTTAATTATCAGGTTAACTAGTTACGTAACTAGTTAATTTTTTCAATAAAGAAAAGATCATAACGGGAAATAAATGCATGTTAGTGCCTACAACTGCAATCCTTTTATTATATTATCATCTTAAAATTAAGAGGTTAACTAGTTACGTAACTAGTTAACCTCTTAATTAACTAGTTAATTAAGAGGTTAACTAGTTACATAAATACTTAACTAGTTTACGTCTTAATTAACTAGTTAATTATCAGGTTAACTAGTTACGGAAATACCTAACTAGTTAACCTGATAAATAACTATTTTTACGTAACTAGTTAACCTCTTAACCAACTAGTTATTTATCAGGTTAACTAGTTACGTAACTAGTTAACCCGTTATCACTTATCTATAAATAGATATTGCATAATATTTGGAATACCCTTACTGTCCGCTTATGAGCGGGGTATAACTAAATTACGAAAATAGGGTTATTTTCGCGAAAATTATGGTGGCATATTTCTGCCACCAGATAACCATATAACTAACTAGTTAATTAAGAGGTTAACTAGTTACTTAACTAGTTAACCTCTTAATTAACTAGTTAGGTATCAGGTTAACTAGTTACGTAACTAGTTAACCTCTTAATTAACTAGTTAGGTATCAGGTTAACTAGTTACGTAACTAGTTAACCTCTTAATTAACTAGTTAGGTATCAGGTTAACTAGTTACGTAACTAGTTAACCTCTTAATTAACTAGTTAAGTATCAGGTTAACTAGTTACGTAACTAGTTAACCTCTTAATCAACTAGTTAGGTATCAGGTTATCTGGTGGCAGAAATATGCCACCATAGAAAATAGCATTTTGGCGTGAGCGGCAAGATATTCCCTTGTTTATTGCACGTGTCTCACAGCATCGGGTCAATTTCCTGTGTATTTGTTTATTTGTCCAGAGCCTTTGAAAGACTTTCATTGTCTGACTAATACATATCCTATTTTATATAAACAATATACATACCTAAATGAAACGTAATCGGGCCGTAAAGTAATCATTTGTACTGACCTATGAAAAGGCATGTTATAAAACATAAACTAATCAAAGGTTTATTGATGTATCTTATTATAACCACCAACCCTGTGGCACCTGTCCATTAAGATATGGAAAGTATTGATTAATTACTTTACAACTTCCATGTACTCGTCAATACACAAATCATTGCCTTAACAGGAAGGTATACAAATACATCAAGAAATGAATAATGTTGTAAATCATGCAATGTTATATTTGTTTGTAACAGAATATCTTTCTCTTTTAGTATGACTAAAAAAACTTTAAAAAACACAACATAGTTTGTCAATAATAAAAAAGACACTTTAAGTATATATAAGCTTCGTAATATTAGGTATATATAACTGCTATATATAATGCTAAACACATCTCGGTGAAGCATAATACTTTTTTTACATAGAGCATTTAATTAAATGTTGCTATACACATTGTACTCTTTTATGCAATTAAAGAATGGAATGAAGGGACCAATCCAACACTGACTCTTGTACATCCATGAATTGGCAACACTTGTCGTGTCATAAAGGGGCTTCATAACACCTTTAATTTAGGTACTTCTGATATTGCAGTCGAGTTTACTGCACAAACGTCAAACTTTATTACACACATTGAGAAATGACAAATCAAAACAAAGTAAATCATCATCTTCGTCAGGTTAACCATGGATCAGGAGCATAGACCAGGATGATATCGATAGGCCCGGTATCCAATGTTTACAAATGTCCACCGATGCTCTCCTGGGTGCGTGTTTAAATTATATCATTGATTAAAAATGCCTTATGGCACATTTGTGCAATTACCTTTTTTGTGTTAGTTGATATATTCATTATATGCTTACGATTTTATATGAATCGTGCGTGTTTAAATGATACCAGTAATTAAACATACTTAATGCATGCACATCTTGATTTGTGCAATGCCCTATGTATTTTGTGTGAGAGTTCACTATTATTTGTAAGTGTTGCTAGTTTTAGTCTTAAGTTACAATTCAAAGATATGACAGTAAACGATCTTAAATGGTTGTTTGAATTACTTTATACCTTTATGTTAAATTACAACATTGAATAAAATGTATTTTGCATTCATTTTCTGGGTTTGTTTAATTCTGTCTTTAAATTCAAAGATACATATTAAATACAAATTTAATTGTGTTTTGGTACAATTATTGCTTTACAACTCAAACTATTTTACAATAAAGGTAAAATAGAACAGTAAAAGCATCATCATTATCCGACAATGATACCTTCAAAGGGGAATAAAAAGCGAGTCATGTCAGAATGAGATAAGGGATCTGTTAACATTGCAGTAGCACTCAATCTAGTATCTGACCATTCTCTCCAGTATCTGACCATGTATCAATGCAATGGAGCAAAACAATGCTATTTATAGATAAGTGATAACGGGTTAACTAGTTACGTAACTAGTTAACCTGATAATTAACTAGTTAATTATCAGGTTAACTAGTTAAGTATTTATGTAACTAGTTAACCTAATAATTAACTAGATAATTATCAGGTTAACTAGTTACGCAAATACCTAACTAGTTAACCTGATAATTAACTAGTTAATTAAGAGGTTAACTAGTTATGTAACTAGTTAACCTGATAAATAACTAGTTAATTATTAGGTTAACTAGTTACATAAATACTTAACTAGTTAACCTGATAATTAACTAGTTAATTAAGAGGTTAACTAGTTAAGTATTTATGTAACTAGTTAACCTATTAATTAACTAGTTAATTATCAGGTTAACTAGTTACGTAACTAGTTAACCTCTTAATATTAAGCTGACAATAAGGGATGGCAGTTGCGGGCACAAACATGCATTTATTTCCCGTTATGATCTTTTCTTTATTGAAAAAATTAACTAGTTACGTAACTAGTTAACCTGATAATTAACTAGTTAATTAAGAGGTTAACTAGTTACGTAACTAGTTAACCTCTTAATTACTAGTTAATTATCAGGTTAGCTGGTGGCAGAAATTTACCCACCATAATATATAGTCGAAGTGAACTCATATATTATCCAAATGGTTACATAAATTGAAAAAGAACAATATCAGACAGCCATGGCTTTCCATATTCGCGACCTCTACATTAAGTTATTGATTGACTATTCTGATTGGCTACCCGGTTTACATACGTCACTCTTTCAGCTTTATTTCGCTTAAATCACATTGATACTGTACATTAACTACGCCGTGAACTTTTTACAAAGTAGCTATATTCACTTATAAATCATTTAAGACAGACACTCTCGTGAATAAAATTATTTTGATAAGCTGACAACCGAGTTGAATTTATATTTAAGTCTGAAATATATGCGCATTGTTATTGTTGAATATTCGTTTGTATTTGGACCCCTCAAGATGGATTTTAAACAACTGTTGCAGACGTTTTTGATAATATATACAGTTAAAAGATGCAATGGTACTATCAGTAAGTAAAACATGCTTGTCGCGATTAAATATGCAGTGAGATATTTAATTATACTTTTTAACTTTAAATGTAAAGGTTATGCGTATATTTTTATAACAACTTCGTGTAATTTCCTTTAATGTTTTCATTTACTTAATTGTTAAAGTGCATCTTCTGCTTGTACTTTGCAAAAGTATTGTTTAAAATTTAAAAAAAGAATAAACAAAAATACCTGTATGAAAAAAATATGTTTTTTTATATTTCCTTAGGAACAAATGCACGACATTGTTGCATTTTATGATGTTCGAGAACAGTATTCACGTGTGTTAAATAACAGAAACATTATTATAACTCTTTCGAGAACCTATCATGAGATTATGGAAACAACTTATGTTTTACATTTGTATTAAAATAACTTCTTTTTTAAATCCTTTAAACGTGACAAAAAGGCCGATAATCTAATTACTGTAGAGTTATATTACTTTTTTGGTTGAATTTAAGACTATATTAACTGTAACTTAAAGGTGCTCCACTGAGGTCAAAAAAGCCTCAAAACATAAAATTTGAAATTCGTACATAGATCAAATGAAACACTTCAATTGGAAACATTTCAAAAGACAAATAGAGAATTATGTTTATGTTCGGAATCAAATTACAATCGATTTTTGCGTAATTTATTGCCAAATTTGTAAGGAAAGAGTTGCAATGATTTTTATTTTTGGGTCATTTTGCTTTTAAAAATGATCACTAGTTATTGGTCTAAACCTACATCAAATGGTACACTAATCTCGGAAACTTCATGTCCCTTCATGTAAATAAAATCCTGAGTTGAGTCCCTTTAATGTATATCCTTGTATAACAAAGGCGTATCAAATGTACTTTTTAGAAAACTGACATCATTTACTACCCAACATACGTCAGACAATGTTTCCCCTACAGAAAATAGGCGTTTTGAAAAGTAGTATTGTTCAAAATTCACTTACTACAACTCTCTTCTCTAATATTTCTTTACTAGGTCTCAACTTTTGCTCGGGCATGTCAATTAAAGATTATTTTGACTAATTAAAATCTAAAAACAGCCACAGTCTAGAGTTTAAACAAATAAAATAGGACAGTTTATAAAGTGGATCGATTACAATTTGATTTTCTAGTTCGAGCTTTTTATAAGGCACGTGTTTTTATGGCACTCTATTAATTTTAAGTTCATATATTATAAAAGGTTACTCGATGGTATTTTGGTCCGATCACACTCTAGTAAACTCATACAAATCGTAATTCCAAAAACCCTTACACTTAAAATACAAACCATTGAGAACTTATTTTTAACCCGATTGCAAAAAAACGACATGAAAATAAAAAATGAAATAAAATAAAAAGGAAAATTAAAAATATCTTATATACTGGTATACGAAAATGGAAGCCATATGATATTAACGATACACAAGAGAGTCAAAAGTCCGATCCACTGTCCATGCAGGTACCCCTGTCGATTCCTTTCCGAGCTTATTTTAATGCAAGACATAAAAAATAATGGTATACCGAAATAAGTCTTTAGCATAACTGTTGAATGTGACCATAAATGCTTGCAAAGATTTGTTATTGTTAGGCTTAATCATATTTTTAATATACTATTATTTATTGCTAATTACATGAATACTGTTATTTATCATGTTCATATATAATACAACTTTAAACTATTTGTTTTCTGCATCGCGATATTATCCAGATGACATCTTTGTATTATTTTGTACATTTGTTTTATTAATTATTTCTATTATATTAAAGTCAATGAACATATAATATTATATTACATGTATAAAATGCATTTCTAAATATTTGTAAATTGTTTTATGAAATAGCTATCTGCAAATTTATTCACGGTAATTATGAGTCATTTACACCAGTCATCGTCGTCATATTTGAAACAAAACTTGTATTGTTTTATGACAAATGTTTGAAACAATTTGCATTTTAAGATCGTCGTATATACACATTTATTTTCCAATGAATGCATAATAAAGAGTGTTCTGGACGAATGTTGCTGGTTCGAACCCGAGAGGCCATTGTACATCGCAAATCAGTCTGATACAAGAAGAAAATACAACATTTTTTTTTTGTAATAACTTTTTTATTTCTTTTGGCGAATAATTTCCATCATGACTGGGTATAAAAGCAATTTAGGAACTTTAAATACACATCATATTTGCTCCGACAACGGTCGCAAATAGAAAAAACGTTATGTTAAATTTCAGCTGAGAGGAGTAGTCAAATATGAAATTTTGCAAAATTAACACAATTAAAATGCACCGACAACGGTTTCCCGTGTTATGTATGTCCGATAATTACACAAACATTTTTGATGTCCTTTGAATCATATCATAGTGTTGCAAGAGCACCGACAACGGTTGCATCAAGCTATTGACTAATGTCTATTCGATTAGCAATTGACTGTTATTTAGGTACTCCGTCGCCCAGCATAAAACATGTGTCCCAATCATGACGAAGCGTTGTGATAGCTGACTCCTGAAATGTAAAACAAGCACAGCAGAAAAAAGGGTTGCGGAGGGCGGGAAATTAAAAACCTAGATTAAGATTTTAACAAAAATTTTAAAATATGATCAGCAGCTACCTTTCTCATAGAGTTCCAGAACGAAAAGGAAGCAGCGGGCTCGCGCAGCTCCTTATATATAGTGTTCAAAATATAGCTCTCAGACTGAGCATGCGTATTGATACGCAGTACAACTGATCGATAGATTAAGACATGTGTCATTCATGTAAAATAAAAGAGTTTAATCTTGAATGATTAAACTTTGATAATATATACTTTTAATTTCTACCTAAACTCAGCGTTAATTTGTAGTACATGTGCATATGTGCAATTGAAATATATTTCAATATAAGCGTGCAAATCAAATATAGAAATGAAAAAAAGTTCAAATTTATTAAAACTTAGTAGTCACTATGTAAAAATATTGTTATTTTTTGAAGATTGATTATCCTAAACAATTTGAATAATTTTTCCTGAATAAAACAACCGATGTTTATAAAGTTTCTTCAAAAACGATTTCAAACTTTGTCCTTATTTAAAAGATTTCTTTCTTGTGTATCAGAAACAAGTCCAAAGTCTCTTCAAAACGATTCTAAATTTTGTCTTTATTACATAGATTTTTTTTTCTTTTGTATCAGGGACGAAAAGATACGGAAGCGTCCTGGTGCCAATTTAACATGTTCTATAAAAAAGATAACTCCTACGTAGGACTTTGTAACTCCTACGTAGGACTTTATAACTCCTACGTAGGAGATAAAAAAAACTAATTAGTAGTTTTAAAGTCCTACGTAGGAGTTCAAAAGTCCTACGAAGAGTTTATAACTCCTACGTAGGACTTTATAAGTGTTCCTCTACGTAGGAGTTTTATAACTCCTAATTAGGCTTTTTTATCTCCTACGTAGGAGTTATAATGTCCTACGTATGAGTTTGTAAGTCCTACGTAGGACTTTAAAACTCCTAATTAGGTTTTATATCTCCTACGTAGGAGTGATAAAGTTAAGTCTTTAACATTTTAAGACCAATGCGTGAGGAAATTTAAATAAGATCTGTCGCATTAAAAAGAATATTTTTTACGTTTATAAAGATACCTAAATTTTCAGTAAGATTGATAAAAGGGTTCTAAACACGCGCTGCCTGACATTATTCTTATTGTTATTTATTTTCTTACAGGGATCAATGGAACTGATGGTTCAACAGTGAAGCCATCGACAACTGTTAAAACGTTTGTACCGGGGAGATCAACTGATTCGGGTAACAACTATTTTATTTTATAAATGTATTAATTTTAATGTATAGTCCATACAACAGGTGTTTGAAACAAACTTTTTTATATTCTATATGGGCTATATACTATAATAAGATATTAATATACATATACATGTATAGGCCGATTATGTAAAATATGTAAAATATTTGATTATGTGACTAGCGCCTGTGATTTATATGAAGGCAGAATCACGTGACTTTGCTGGTAAGCAAAACTAGTAATGGCGACTTTTCAGCCTCGTCAGTTAACTATTTTGCTATTTGAATTGATAGCTGTTTCCGAAATCTTAAAAAGAACTTGCCTATCATATTAAGCTGAATTAAACGTTCTTCAAATATCGGTACTAAGCAACTGCGCATACGATAGGCTACAGAAGGCCTAGTTTGGATCACAACACCATAATGAACTTACCAAGGCTAAACACCATAAAAAGACATTACTCCATTTTGGTAACCGTATGTGGTAAAATCTGTTATTCAGGGCCGTTATCGATAAAAAACCATATTAATGCAATATTTTTCTTATGCATTTTTACATCATTGTGTACGTCATTGTCGTCGTCGTCAAAACCATCACCACCATCACTATCTATATCATCACCATCATTCTATTTTTCTTCTACTTCTTCTTTTTCATCATCATCATCTTCTTCATCATCATCATCATCACCACCAACAACAACAACAATAACACCACCATCACCAACTTTATCACCATCATCATCATCTTATTTTCCTTCTTCTCTTTTCTCTTTTTTATCATCATGTTCATCATCCTCAAGATGATGCATTCCTAACCATCGCTTATTACAATTATCTTCGACAGTAATGTTAAAATTAAAATTCAAGCATGATTTCTCACTTTTAAACATAATGTGTTTCTATACTTTCTCATGCATTTGAACAGTTCTTTTTATTTTGACATTTGAAAACCATTTACAAGAAAACCTGCTCTTCTGATACTTATATATACATCCACATAAGACTTGACGAGATTTTTACATCTTTTATTGGGACCTAGAATGACCTATAAGGTTTGCTATGCTTTGTTACTAGTTATGACCAATCACTGTGTGAAATATGAAGACTGTGATGAATAGTTTTCAAGATAATCAGTGGAAACCATTCTGACATGTATGGCCCCTTTGACATTGACCTTTGACCTATTGACCCAAAAATCAACAATATAATCTGTATATTTCAGTGGTTGTTGTTGGTGTGATAATTGGCCTCGGATTAATCTTCCTATTATTTATCTCGTGCATGCTGTTCTTCATAGCAAGGTAAATTTCTGATATATTATATACATTAATTTTTTTCCTATTTCAATTTTCATTTATTTTTATTTCATTTGACGTAAAAATATGTGTACACTTAGTCATTGTTTACCTGACATAACAGACGCAGTTGTATGTATATTTATTATTGACCTTTAGTTAATTCAACTGACATTTGGTTGACGTCACAAAGCTGTGACAATTACATGTATTTGTTACAGCTTTGTGACGTCAATTAAATGTCAGTTGAAAAGTTAAAAATAAATACTTTTACTCCGTTAAACTGGCATTCATTGACAATTAGCAAAAGGTACTATTGATATGCAATTGTTGTTGTTATTCAAGCGACATTATTTGACGCCACATAACAAATACCAAGTCAATGTATTTGCCCTTGTAATATTGATTTCATAGGGACGTTCCAAGGCGCCATTTTATCTAGCAGTATAGTCCTGAGTATATTAAAAATATTCGTTCAAGTTAAATCTATTTTCAAAAACAAAATTTACGTTACTTCTGTTATCTCACGTTATTATAGTGTATTGTAAAAAATGATCTGAGCATTTTTTGGCTATAATTTATACTAGATTATATTGTGTTAAAGAGACATGATTGGCATATAAGCATAATTTGTACAAAGTTCCATGTAATTGAATTGCAACAAACGTTTAAGTCGAGTTGAAACAAAATAATTTAAAAAAGTGTCATATCATTTACTTGCTATGAAAATAGATCGATTAACACACCTGTGACTACTGCATTTATTATTTTTACTTAATTAAGATAGCTTTTAACAAAACTTTATTAAGATGTCAAAGCTCTAATGTTATCTATCTGTTGCCACTCTTTTAAAGCCGATTGTAGATATAATATCTTCGTTCAACCGTTCATATAATGTACGGACAATAAATAGACGTTTCACTTTAGGCATTTTAGATTTAGCCTTATATATCTAAAATCCATTACCATACCAATAACATACCGATTATACTTCACTATAGCTTTTTACATAAAAGTGTATTTGCTCAATATGTCATCCCAAATACGCTGAGAGATTGTTAATTAACATGATAATAATAAGGCATATTATAAGTACATTTAATTTAAATGTTGTTCAAAAGTTGTCCTTTATAATAATAATAATAATAATAATAATAATAATAATAATAATAATAATAATAATAATAATAATAATCATCATCATCATAAGATACATAATTTGACTTGTTTTTGGTACAGCTTATTTGCCTTTGAATATATAGGTATTTCAATGAAAATCTTACATGCCATTATTCAACACAGTTTTAATTTAATCTTGAGACACCATAAAATTTCCATTACAGACGTAAAATTCGCAGTGAAGAGATGGAAGAAGGGTCTAGAGAGAGCGACCAATTACCTTCCCAGCACAAGAACACAACAAATAGAACGCTAACACATCTGTATAATAGGATGAGAGCAAATAGACCGCTACCTAGCATACCATCATCATTCCGAAATATTCATCCCTTCAAGTCCAGGCAACAGAACCTATCCGGAATGTATGCCAGTATTAAAAGTATTAAATCAAACAACAGTAACGCTAGACAAGTTCTTGACAGGCAACTTTCCGAATCATCAGACTGCTCTTACCTTGAACCAATCAGAATAACGTCAATTAGTGAAACTGTAAATATTAAACCGAAAGATTTGAACATAAGCAAAGTAACAGATGTTTCACCGTTTGAAACAACAAAGGAGAGATTAGAAATGAAAATGAAAAGCAGCAGTCAGCGGTCTGCAAATGATATGTATATACATCCTCAATACGAAGCTGAAATGGAAAGTAAACAGAACAGCATTGGTGAGCGTGATGCAAACGATAGAAAGCAGTCCAAGCAAATGAATGTGAATCATCGAGACGTCCATGCGATTCGTGAAGATTCACTTGATCAAGGTACACCAGGAGGTGCTATAAATGATACAGAAATTATAATTTGTTGTCCAGGTTACATGCGGTTGGGTTCAAACTCTTGCGAAGAAACTGATCAAGATAAAAATGAAAAAGAAAACATTGACAATATTAACAACAGTAAAAACACGTTGATAGAAACGGACAGTAGTGGATATATGCCAATGCGTGCAGTTTGTAAGATAGACAAGAAACCAGTGTTAGAACAAAATGATAGTATATTCCCTCACTTGATCGGTTTCACTTCTTATTTTGATGCTGACATCAATGAGGGCATGGATAAAGAAAGTCAAAATGAAGAAAAGCATATTGTTAAAACTAAGCGATATGTGAAAGATATGAAGTGAATAATGAAAGGGAAACCTTCATTTGTATTTTGTTTGTTATTTATTTGTCTATATAAATAAAACAGAATTATTACCAATGCGTTGTATTGTACATGTAACTATGAAACTATCTTCATTATGCATTAGGCGTTTTAACGCCGGTCTCATCTCCGGAAGAGTTCTTGGGATAGTGGCGGGGGGGGGGGGTTAAGTCATGCTTCAAGTCACCGCTCTCGATGTAATGTATGGAGAATTCGTATCAAAAAAGCAAATGATATAGCCATGACAAGAGCAAATATATATTGCAATTCAAAAATTGTTGAAACTGTTTCCATCATTGATTGATGTCAAGAATGAAAACGATGAGAAAGACATATTGACTGGAGTGAAAATAAAGTCATCATTCAGTGCTTATAATTAAAATGCTAAAGAAGTTGCTGTTTCATCATATGATTAAAGCTAGGATAAAGGAAAATGTCAAACAAAGTGATATATTAAACAGAAAGTGCAGCACGTAGAGCAAGGACACGGCTGTTTTAATTTACATTTTGCTCAAGAAAGTAGTTTTATAAAAGTTGTCATGCATATTCATCCGTATTCTGATGTAAAAAGGCCATAATGGCATACACTACTCATATTTCATTTATGTTTTACATGAAATATGTTGTTTCATGTAAATAGTATATTTTATTCTTTTAACGACATTCTTGTCATTCAATATTGATTCATTTCTGTGCGCATTTCATATGAACAGGGTAAATACCTTAAAACTGTGTTGACCTTGACTATAAAAAGAAAGTATTCCCCATTAAGGTTCGGCGTAGCAATACTATGTTGCTGTGACTGTTTTATGATTGAAATCCTAGTGTTATATGTGTGTGATATATGTATATTGATACATGTATGTGTGATATATGAGTGTGATATATGTATGTGTGATATATCTGAATGTAACATATATGCATTAGTCGTATACATGTATGTATGTGCAACATGTATGCACAATTAATTTATGTATGCGAATGAACTTTTCTCTTCATAATGCAGCTAAATATTAAAATCATGCATGTCGTTTCGAAAACGGTTTTCTGTATTTAATTTAACCTGTATCCCAATCAGTATGATGGCTGTTAAAGATGCCTAGACACAATGCATAAGCAAGAAAAAATTCTAAAACTTTAAAACACACCAAATATACAGCTTTTATCTGTGTTGGTAATATGCTAAACTATCCTTATCGTTTGAACCGCCCCAAAATATTTTGAATTCAAATAATAATGGGACTCGGACGCGAGGCATTCGGAGCATCTCGCGTAACTTTGATGAAAATAAAAATTGTCAGGGCCGAAAAGCTGCGGTTGGATTTGTTCTTCGTTATTTTCATAAAAATTTTGTAAAATACTAACATTGGTCCCGTAAACTTCAGAACCACCAGTGTCTTTTTTCTGTTTGAGCATGGATAACATGTCCTACGGAATGCAGTGTTTACGTCTTGTTCGCAAAATGTTATCACTTTAAAATTTCACTTAATTTCTGCTATCACAATAATACGCACTTTGTTGGAAAAAAAGTATGTGAGAAGTTAGCAGTGAACAGTGAGCTAAGCAAAAAGGCATTTCAATTTATATAGGGAAGGTAATGATCTGCTGTAATGCTCAGCTGTTTTGGGCATCTAGCAGGGCATTCCTAAATATAGTGTAAAAATGCTCTGCTGCAATACTCAGCTGTCTTGGCAATCTAGCAGAGTATTCCTAGCTTTAGTGAAAAAATGCTCTGCTGGAACGCTCAGCTGGCTAGGCAATCTAGCAGTGCATTACTAATTATAGTATTAAAATGCTCTGCTGGAATGCTCAGCTGGCTAGCTCAGCTGGCTAGGCAATCTAGCAGGGCATTACTAAATATAGTGAGAAAATGCTCTGCTGGAATGCTATGCTGGCTAGGCAATCTAGCAGGGCATTACTAAATATAGTATAAAAATGCTCTGCTGGAATGCTTAGCTGGCTAGGCAATCTAGCAGGACATTACTATATATAGTGTACAAATGCTGTTCTGGAATGCTAAGCTGGCTAGGCAATCTAGCAGGGCATTCCTAAATATAGTGTAAAAATGCTCTGCTGGAATGCTAAGCTGGCTAGGCAATCTAGCAGGGCATTCTTAAATATAGTGAAAAAAATGCTCTGCTGGAATGCTAAGCTGGCTAGGCAATCTAGCAGAGCATTACTAAATATAGTGTAAAAATGCTCTGCTGGAATGCTAAGCATGCTAGGCAATCTAGCAGGGCATTCCTAAATATAGTGAAAAAATGCTCTGCTTGAATGCTGAGCTGGCTAGGCAATCTAGCACAGCATTACTAAATATAGTGTAAAAATGCTCTGCTGGAATGCTACGCTGGTTAGGCAATCTAGCAAGACATTACTAAATACAGTGTAAAAATGCTCTGCTTGAATGCTAAGCTGGCTAGGCAATCTAGCAGAGCATTACTAAATATAGTTAACAAATGCTTTTCTGGAATGCTAAGCTGGCTAGGCAATCTAGCAGGGCATTACTAAATATAGTGTAAAAATGCTTTGCTTGAATGCTAAGCTGGCTAGGTAATCTAGCAGGGCATTACTAAATATAGTGTAAAAATGCTCTGCTGGAATGCTACGCTGGCTAGGCAATATAGCAGGGCATTCCTAAATATAGTGTAAAAATGCGCTAGTGGAATGCTAAGCTGCTAGGCAATCTAGCAGAGCATTACGAAATAAAGTGTAAAAATGCTCTGCTGGAATGCTAAGCTGGCTAGGCAATCTAGCAGGGCATTACTAAATAAAGTGTTAAAATGCTCTGCAGGAATGCTCAGCTGGCTAGGCACTATAGCAGAGCATTCCTTAATATAGTGAAAAAATGCTCTGCTTGAATGCTGAGCTGGCTAGGCAATCTAGCAGAGCATTACTAGATATAGTGTAAAAATGCTCTGCTGGAATGCTCAGCTGGCTAGGCACTATAACAGCATTCCTTAATATAGTGAAAAAATGCTCTGGTGGAATGCTCTGCTGGCTAGGCAATCTAGCAGGGCATTACTAAATATGGTGTAAAATGCTCTGGTGGAATGCTAAGCTGGCTAGGCAATCTAGCAGGGCATTCCGAAATATTGGTGGAATGCTCAGTTGGCAGACTGATTCTGAGTTCCAGGATTTATTGTTGCCAAAGTTTTATTGACATTTTCGACTTCTAGGCAATTATGAGGCACTCGCAGACTTTCAGGAATTTTGGTGCCAATAGAAATTATGATATTTTTTGTCTTCTAAGGACCTTTAAGAGACTACTTCATTGTCTTGCGACTTTTTGAAGGACACTCGCAGACTTTCAGGAATTTTGATGCCAATGCTGATATTGACAATTAAGACTTCTAGGGACCCTCAAGAGTCCATTTTGGTCTTCTGCGACTGATTCTTGAACACTCACAGACTTTCAGGAATGGTTGGTGCCAATAGAAATAATAATATTTTTGACCTCTAGGGACCTTTAAGAGTCCATTTCATTGGCCTGCAGCGTGTTGTTGGACACTCGCAGACTTTCAGGAAAGTTTGGTGCCAATAGAGATTTTTGCAATTTTTACTTCTAGAGAACCGCCAGAGTCCATTTATATGGTCTGCGACTGATTTTGGGACACTTGCAGACTTTCAGGAATCTCTGGTGCCAATGGAGATTATGACATTTCTGACTTTTAGGGACCCGCCAGAGTATATTTCTTGGGTCTGCGACTGATTCCTTGATACTCGCAGACTTTCAGGATGTTTAGTGCCATTGCAGATCATGACTTTTTTACTTTTAAGGACCCCTTAGTCATAAGCAAAGTTGTTTTCCCTAAAATGTTATTATCTGCATAAGCACCAAAAATTCCTGAAAGTCTGCAAGTGCCAAATAATCAGTCGCAGACCAACGAAATAGACTCTGGTTGGTCAAAAATGTCATAAATTGTAATTATCTCTATTGGCACCAAAAATTCCTGAAAGTCCGCGACTGTCCAAAAATAAGTTGCAGACCAAAAAATTGACCCTAGAAGTAAAAAATATAATTATCTGCCTTCACATAAAAATTCCTGAAAGTCTGTGAGTGCCTAAGAATCAGTCGCAGACAAAAAAAATGGACTCAGGAAGGTCACAAAAAGTCAAAAATATCATTTTTTTGCATTTACACTAAAATTCCTGAAAGTCTGCGAGTGACTCAGAACCAGTTGCAGACCAACGAAATAGACTCAGGAGGGTCTTTTTGAAGTAAAAATGTCATTATCTCCATTGGCACCGAAAATTTCTGAAAGTCTGCGAGTGTTCCAGAAACATTCGCAGACCAACGAAATGGACTCTGGATGGTCCTAAAAATTCACAAATGTCATTATCTGCATTAACACCAAAAATTCCTGAAAGTCTGCGATCGTCCCAGAATCAGTCGGAGACCAAAGAAATAAACACTTTAGGGTCCCGTAGAAGTCAAAAATGTCATTATCTGCATTGGCACTAAATATTTTAGAAAGTCTACGAGTGCCAAATAATCAGTTGCAGACCAACGAAATTTATACTTTATTTAAGTATGCCCTGCTAGTTTGCCTAGACAGCTCAGCATTCCGGCAGAACATTTTTACACTAATTTTCAGAATGCTTTGCTGGATTGCCTAGCCAACTGAGCATTTTTAACACTATATTAAGGAATGCCCTGCTAGATTGCTTAGCTAGCTGAGCATACCAGCAGAGCATTTTTCGCACTATATTTTGGAACGCTCTGCTAGATTGCTTAGTCAGCTGACCTTGCCAGCAGAGCATTTTTACACTATATTTAGGAATGCTCTGCTGGATTGCCTAGCCAGCTGAGCATTTTTAACACTATATTTAGGAATGCCCTTCTAGCTTAGCCAGCTGAGCAATTCAGCAGAGCATTTTTACACTATATTTTGGAATGTCCCGCTAGATTGCTTAGCCAGCTGAGCATAACAGCTAAGCATTTTTACACTATATTTAGGAATGCCCTGCTAGATTGCCTAGCCAGCTGAGCATACCAGCAGATCATGTTTAAACAATATTTTGGAATGCCCCGCTAGATTGCTTACCAAGCTGA